TAAGTGGATTGAAGATCTCCCTAGTCTTTCTCTTTCAAATAAAATAAATAAATCTTAAAGCAATTAATAAATTAGCAGTCTGGACTTCAGATGGTGCCCAGATAGGATGCTGGCATGTGTAATCCACTGTGCCACAATGGTGGCCTGGCTGTCTCCACCTTTATTCATCTAAGTAGAAAGCATTGTCTAAATAGCATGCAGCCAAGGAGTCATTGGTCCCTCAAAAGAACAATTAGCCGTAAAAGTCCAGCGAGCTTCAGATAGGCCTATACAATGTACTACAGTCACCCGTCAGAGACAAGTGGAAATGCAGACAAGAAAGAAAATGCTAATCTTTAGAATAGAAGAACAATCAGTTAAACACAGCTAGAGTTCACATATTATGTTGAGTTTTGGGAGTATTTCTTAAAGGTAAATATGAAGATAAAAAATAAAAATAAATATGAAATCTTGTTACTGAAAATGATGAACAATTGGGAGAAATAAAGCAGATCAAAATCCTTCTATTAAAGCCGATTTAATTTGCAGTGTGGCTACTTGAATGACACAAACCTATTGCACATTTTCTGAGTACAGGTTTGATCCCAAGGAAAGAAAGGGGAAATAGTATGCTAACCATGTCCATTGCAGAGAGAAAACAGACATGAGAACACGTGTTGGAGTGATGTTGACAGATCACACAGAAAGAAGCTGTGCCCCGGAGAAGGTGTTAATAAAGATGTCTCCATGTAGAAGTTTCCATTCTGAGACTTTTAAGACTATTTTGCCTGCATATTCTTCAATCAGAGAAATTGGTGAGCTTTAAAGAAGTAAAAGAACTAGCAACACAATAAAAACACAAAAGACCAAAGACGTTATCACATTTCCATCGGTCAGCTCAGTGGATACCCCTTGGAAATGACCGTGGTTGAGAGTTGAGACCGTTAGAAGTCATGTTAGAAGTGCTTTGTCTCTCATTCCCTGAAACATTTTCCTACATTTCTGTTTGATCCCTGCCTGCCAAGGATTTACTTCTTGTAGGCAGTCCTTATCTCTTTCCAGTCCTTGCACCTGCTTCTGTTGCAGGCACTTCAACTAAAATCAATCTACTTTCTCATCCTTTCAATGATTCTTCTGTCACAAAGCAAGTATTACACATGCTCTGTGTCTCTCAAGATATGCCACTCTTGTCTCTTACCCATCTCCACTCTATAAATACTGTCACAAAATGAGCACTCACTAATGAGTTGGGGGAGAAAAAAAATATTTCCATGATGAACACTGAAGTAAAATGTCTTCACCCAGGATTAGCTGAAGATAAGAAAAAGAGAATGATTGATATTGTGGCACAGTGAGCTAAACCGCTGCCTGAGTTGTCACCAGCATCCACTGGTTCGAGTACTGGCTGCTCCACTTCCAGTCCAGCTCTTCCCTAATACTGCTGGGAAAGCAGCAAAAAATAACCCAAGTATTTGGATGGTTTCTGGTTTCAGTCTGGCCCAGTCTTGGTCATTTGTCAAAGAAACCAGGGGGGGTGGAAGTTGAAGAATAAAGACAATTTAATTCAAGCTAAGCTACTGATTTAAAGAACTTTAAGACTGGCTAAGAAAAGTAGTTATTTATGAAAGGTTAGCTACATATTTGTCCCTTTGAAGCCTCTTCCTACCACAGCAGTAGGGCTGACTGAGAGCAGCTGGTGTCTGCTGAGGGCCCTCTGCTTTTTTAATTGCTCTTTTGCAGGTTCTCCCTGGTGCGGAGGCCACAGTGTGGAGCATTCTTCTGAAGCTCAGCCTTCAGGGGAGGTTACTCTGTGCAGCAGACGCCAGTGCTCGAGGGGGTCCCATCCTTCTGAGCTGCAGCTTCCTCCCTCAGACACTGATTCCTGCAAGAGCTGATAGACCAGGAATAGAAGGAGAAATAGGAAAGAAAAGTGGTCCAAGGAAAGAGAGGAATGTTTTCAGCGTTTTAAGAAAAGCAAGAGTATGATGACATACGTGCTTGGGGCTGTGTTCAAACTTTTACCGGCACTTGAACACTTTTAGGTTTTGAGACAAGCATTACACACTACCTATGTCTCTGTTCCTCCACCTCCACTTCATTGTTTCTCATTTCATGGTTGAGTCTGATTTTTCTTGTTTTTATAGTTCAGATCATTTGAAACTATCTCCCTGGAGAAGAATTCTATTCATAATATGCACAGAGCTGTAACTTTTTTTTATCATCTGTGCACATCTCATAAACACTTAAAAATGTCTTAAAACCTTGGTGTTTGTGTGGATGGATTGTATACATACTTGCTGATTCATCCCATCCCTACTGTTTGAAGTGAAAACACAGAGTGAGAACATTGAAGGAAGAGCTGCCTTAATAGTTCCATTCCTGTGCCTGACAGGCCAGGGAACTATAACAATTCTACCTGCTCTACATGCAGAAATGCTGAACAAAACCCTTAGCAAATCAGCTGTGAAGCACTGGGAGAAATCCCTGTGCAAGCCTTTGCTACAATACCTGGTATGTTAGCAGCGAAAGTTTAATTTTTCTCACTAAGTGCAAATCCTCTGAAAATGGCTGTGACAAAGCTGAGCTTATAACTTTTCTTTGTGACATTGTTGAGATTATAGCTTTATTCTAGTTTACTAAGTTTGAGAGCAGAAAGATGAAAAAAGATACTAGGAAAGAATGGAAATATAGGCATTTGGGGGGAATAAAAATAATCCAAGAACATGGGGAATAATCTGCTTAGGGTAGACAGATCCTAGTGGTTCCCCCAAGATCCCTTGCAAAATTAGGAAAGAGAAGGAATTAGTGGGTGACAAAATGTCCCTGGGCACCATTGCTGTCATTTGACACTGTTTTGCCCTTGACTTTACCATTAGCCAGCTGGGGAAAATCCAATTGGTTATATAGTTCAGGTCCTTGTCTTCACTTGAAGATTGGAGATGTTGGATTAGATCACTCATATTTCTAACTAAACTATCGAAGGTACTAACATTACTATGTAGAAATTTTGACTAGCCCAAGGGAGTGATTATGTGAGGGTCAGAAGATGGCAGAGGCCTAATAGATGCTTCCCCCACCATTATTTAGATTTGTTTTTTGTATATTGGATTTCTGTTCCAGTTTAATTCAAAAATGCTCATTATACACATATTACCTAACATTTAATCTAGGAAGTATACATTTATTCATTCATCACCATAAAAATTCTGAGGTATCAAGTCATCTTGAATAATGGTGGAAGTATCACATATTGCTTTTCTAAAATCCACAACAAATATTTAAAAATAAATAAAAAAACATTTATAATCTCATTGCTCACTCCACTGAATGCAATTTATTGACTTATTTTAATTAGCCATAGTGAAAACTGTCCTGAATTTTTTGCTTTGTTAATTATTTAACTGTTGGTTTCTTTACAAAAAGAGAACATCATTTTATAAACAAAAACTGACCATGTGAGAATGTTGAGACACCTGCAACAGTGCTTTGAATTTTTCTATAACAAATTTTCAATAGGAAGTTAAATCAAATTAATTCACTTTGAACTTGCAAGATAATTAGAAGTCCTAACATATTTATGCACACTTTTGGAAATCTGATTTTCCTTTTTTAATGATGACAGAAGTAACCAAAGCAAAGTCTGCATATGGAAAAATAAACATCTCAGAACCAGGGTATCAAGTCTGAAATGTGCTTTATTCATTGGTTTCTTAGTATTGATTCATTTTTAAAGAGTTTATTCAGCAGATATGTTTTTGAAAACAAATATTTAGGCATTCTAAACTTTGGCTTTGTAATATTAAATAATGTATATTTTTTCTGTTTTATAATTGTTTTATCATGATTTTTTATAATCTGTTGCACTCTGTCAGATCACATCATGAAGGTATAGAAGAAATTAATACTAAAGAAGCTGGGGTAGCATAAGTCATCCAGGAGAAGTAAAAATGCAGAAGCAGGCCTATGTCTTCCTGCCATGTGTTCTGTTGATGCCTTAAGCACTGGGAAACTCTAGCAGTTATGTAATTGATTTATGTTGACTATGTGCAATTATACTTTGATTGATAGATTAATTACAAGTAGTAACTGCAAACAGCTCTTGCAAATTGGGAACTACCTTGCATTTCTGGCTTTTTCTGATGCACTGAAAATTCATGCAGGTAAAAAAGCAGCACATACTAAATATATCTGTACTTTTTATTTGATAAAAAGAAACCATTTTGTCGAAATATTTCTTTTACAAGAATCTGCAATTTTTTATTGGGAAAATCAATGGTGTTCATATTTTCTTTGAAATGTTTATTGAGTGTTCCTAACTAAACCTTGCTTCAAGCTATCAGAAAGCACTTTGTTAGAATGGGAGAAGGATGAAAAAGTTATTAATTTTAGGTGAATGAAGACTAAACAAGATAGACTTGTGACAGGGAAAATCCTCATTAATTATTAAACAATCCAGAGAGACAGTTTTACCAGCAAATTTTTCTTTGTTTTTGTTCCTTAAAGGTCTTTTATGACCGGCTTTAAATTATTGAGGTTCTCACTCACTAATGTTTAAATGAGGAGGGTTTCTCTGACTGAATCCCCACCATCACAGGCATTTTACTCCAAGGTAAAACCTGCTGTAGTGCGTACTAAGATCAGGTGGAGCACACTCGGTATTCTGGTCTGTAGGGAAAATGATGTGCATTTTATAGACATTAACAGAAGTACAATGATTAGAAACAGGGGTGTGTTTAAGATTTCTTCCAAAACTCAAACGAATATGGTTAGTTTCAGTTTCTTAATTTGAAAAAAGTATAAGTCTGTAATTCACTTCCACAGATGATTTCTTACACAGTTCCATTATAAAATTACTTGCAATGTATCTTTAAAGTGTTAAAGTTACCCTATTATCATTACATCTTTTGATGACAACCTGTAAATAGAGAAACAAAATCCCAGCACTTCCATTTTATAAAATAAAGCCCACTGATTTAATGCACTTATTTTTCAAAATGGTCAAACCCACCGGAGTGACTTACTAGTGTATCTGGCGTTGACAGTCTCGTGGAGTTCAGTCCTACCAAGGATGGAAGAATTTGAGACATCCAGTTTGAGATCATTGCCATGGTACTTATCACAGCGCCAAGCTTCAGCAGTGGAGGACTCATGGCTGTGGAGCTAATGAGTTTTCATTGTGACTGATTAGGATCCTGGTGCCTCACTGGCAGTGGGAGGCGTGACTGCAGCTCGCCACATCTAAGGCATGAAAGAGATAAACTTTCCTGGCTGTAATCACCAAGGAAAGCTTTCAGAGCCTCCTTTCCCACGCCCATGGAAGTGCACTGCCCTTTTACTTCTTCCCTTCCCAGACTCTTTGCGGATCATCAAACAAATATTCTTGATACAGCTTAGATGGCAATTATCAGAACAAGAGCCTGATGGAGGGGAAATGCGAGCCTTTCTAGCTCCACTACAGTCAGTTACTATCAACAATGTCCACTTCCTCTGGGGTTTGTGTAAGTATAATCAGCTGCTCTTTATGCTTCATAAAAAATACACCTTTGTAAATGGAAGTCTGCCAATGTGCACATTTGAAACACCAAATTTAATATCTACAGATTTCTCTGAGCAAGGGCAGGCAGAGTGGGTTTAGAAACAGCATGAAAATAAAATCTGCAAATAATTTCCAAGATGATTAGATAGAGTAGAGGAAAAATGTTTTAAAAAGTAACCTAAAATTAGCATGGTTGCTTTAAAAATATAGTCAAAGATTAATAGCTGCTGCCTAATGGCAAACATTCCTGGTAAGCACTTTACACCTGAACAGATAGAAAAGGCAGCCTTGGAGAAAACTCTTTAATAGAATTTTATTATGTTTCCTGTTTCACTTATGAGAATGAGTGCTTTGCTTTCAGATGTTCAGTCACACGGCAAACTCATTTAATTCTCTTTTCATCTTCAGAGGAAAGCCTGGGTGGTGAGAAAGGGTTCAATGCATTTTAAAAGGCATAAGATTTGAACTCAGAGAGTCTGAAAGTCTAGTCTTTAGTCTCCTCTAGTTAATTTCATGACTGTCCAGGGAACTAATATTCCTTCACTTCACTGTTTCTGATCATCTGTAAGGTTGGACTCAATATTAAGTATCCATCTAGCTCCGAAATTCAACGATCTGCTGTCAGAGCCCTTTGACAAATGTAGTATATTGAATACACAAGTCATGTGTGATTTTATTATATCCTTTTTACAAATCCTGAAAATTACCCATATCCAAATATCAGGGCACAAGTGGAATGAATCAAAGGCCATTTTTGTATAATATATATCTTTTAAAATTATATGTATATATATTATACATATATATGCATATGCAGAGAGGACTTGGAGGGAAGTATAAATGAGTGAAATCTAAAGGAAAATGAGTTGTTCATAAAAGGGAAAATACTATTTTCCTTAGAGTTGTGGAATTGTTTTGTGTGCTCTTTTCAGCTAAAGAAATGTACTTTTCTTAAAGGTTTTTGGCAGTCTGTGTGAGTATTCTACTCTTCAGCTTCAATTTTTGACTCCTCAAAAAAATTGAAACCCCTCGAGTTTTTCTTACATCATCTCTCATGGAATCCAGGCTGATTTTCATTTTTTTCTTTCAAAATATATTCAAAGTTTTTTAGCTGAAATTTATGTTTTAATCACAGAAAACTGAAAACTAAGTATTTTTATATTTCAAACATGTAACTCTATAAGGAAAGTAAAGTATAAAAGCATATATATATTTATACTTAGTGGTAAGTAAAACAAGTTATTCAGAGAAAGAACTATAGAGCTTTCAGTAGTATTATAATAAAGTAATGACAAAAAGTACAGTGAACAAATATTTAAATGTTTGAAAAGTACATCTGGAACTTTTTATGAGTTTAATAAAAAGGAATGAGTATCTTTTGAAGAGATTCATTTCAAAAATTGCTATTTAATATGCAAGTAATTATATAATTGAAGACATAATGTGACATAGCAATTATACTTATTAATGAACTATCAGTCAACAAGATAATAACATCTGAAATAGCATGAGATTCGATGTCGGGAAAACAATGCTCTTATTTGCAAATTAGAAAAAAAGATACAAAGGAAGTAAAACCATACAAATGGCATGTTTCTTATAACTTTCCAGAGATGGAAATATCACCCAATTAAATTGAAAGAGCACAATGGTGAAAGTTTATAATTCAGTGATATTTATGAACATCATCAAAGCTAAAATATGTTGTTTTCACAGCAGGTTTAAATGACATATGTAGAAGTAGAAAAGCTTTTTACTGGTTAACGATTATTTGTTGTGAGAAACTAAAACATAGTGTTAACAAAAAGCTGAGTAACTTGCAGTATTCTCTTAAGCTGTGAAATCACTTTCATTTTAAAATATGCATTCTAGTTTATAGGATCAGATGTTTTCACATGGAATTAGCATCCTAGGTTAAGGACAAGGAGCCCAGTAATTGGAGAACCTTTAGAAGCATAGTGTGACTTGTAATAAGTTAAATGGCAAGATTTCAGGCGGGAAATCCTGACTGTGGCTATACTAAAGAGTTTGGATTCTATCTATTTGAGATTTAAGGTTTTTTTTTTTTAAATGCAATCATTAATTAGTGCCCTGAATCCCTTCATTGTTATTGTGTAGGATGGACAGGCAGAGCTATGAGAAAGAACACATCACAGCCAGGCAAGTCACTTAGAAGAATTTCTTTCAAGTTTAGGCAGGAGGACAATGAGACCCTGGAATTATTATTAGTGGGATTCAAAAGGTGGATTCCTTAAAGTTTTATAGGAGGACTGTCAGTCCTTACTTTTTAAATAAATGTGAGATGTGCATGAGACAGATTTATCTGGGAGTACTTCCAAGTTTATGGCCTGAAAGATGAATATCATTCATCAGAATGTGGATTACAACTAAAAGCATGACTTTACAAGGAAGAAAAGTCATTTTCTAAATTTGATGGCCTAATAAAAATACTACTTTCTATGCACAAGTCAAAATATAGCCTTGAAAGTAGTAAATGGATTACTTTTGACATTAGTTCAACTTAATTTACTTATTTACTTACTTATGCATTGTTTTCAACAAAGAAACAAAAACTTTACCATTAATACATAGGAATATTGGTGAAACTGATATAATCTCCAGAAAAAGGTGATCTGACTGTACGCTGATTTTCTTTTTAGAATCCAATACTGGGGACTGGCATGATAGTATAGTGGTCAAGGTCCATGCCATGAATGCGCCAGGATCCCATATGGGCACCAGTTCTAATCCTGACAGCCCTGCTTCCCATCCGGCTCCTTGGGAATACAGTCGAGGATAGCCCAAAGCTTTGGGACCCTGCACCCACATGGGAGACCTGGAAGAACTTCCTGGCTTCTGGCTTCGGAATGGCTCAGCTCCAGCCATTGCGACCACTTGGGGAGTGAACCATCGAATTGAGGATCTTCCTCTCTGCCTCTCCTCCTCTCTGTATATCTGCCTTTCCAATTTAAAGAAAATATATAAATAAATAAATATTTTTTTTAAAAAAAAGAATCCTGGTGCAACAAAAAGAAAGTGCTCAACTATGCATAACTGCTCATGGAATGTTAGATAAATATATTTATTTATTAGATTTTTAAGATACTTTGTACTACTCAGAAAGTACATGATAGATATATTCATAAATTATTAATAAATGAATAAATATTAAGTCAAAAAATTTGTATGTAGTGATATGCAATACCATTGGCACATTCCATTATAGAAATTTTATGTTTTCCTTGATTTTTAGCACAGAATTCTAGCACTAATTACTAATAGATATGCTAATTTGGGGTTTGCTGAGAAGTCTGTTTAGCTTTCTGGGGAACCTACATTACATAGACATTAAATATTAAACACATGAAAAACCATATGCTATAAACATGGAAGGATACCATGATAGAAAATATGTGGAAAATGTCTTATAAAACATTGTAGAAAACAGTCACATTGTCATGGCATAATATTTTGACTTTAGGAAAATGAGATGAAGAACTGACTTATCTTTTTAAAAAGAGTTAAAGGAAAAATAGAATATGTTTTTATTTTTGTAATTTAAAATGAGTTTCACATTTGTGGCAGAAGGAAAAGTGGTTAATTGGGCCTGAAGGAATTACTGAACATGGAGCAAGAAGAAAAGGAAAATTCGAAAGATGAGAGGAGCCAGTGTAATACAGTGATTAGTTACATTGTTTAAAAGAAACAGTTATACTAAGGATCTCTAAAAAGCAGTGAGGATATGTTGGAATGTACAGTAGGGTAAGCAACTTAAAATATAAGGAGAAACATGCAGTGATCCTGCTGAAATCGTCTTGGGAAGATTGCATACCTTGAGAAGAGGTTTGGTGAGAGAATGACCGGGTCAACAGCTCTCTCCTTGCTGCACCTCAAGACAGTTTGGAAGGCATCCACTTCTGCAGGGCCATCTCAAATTCTCTAGGGCCTTCAACAACTTCTCCAGTATCTTCACACACTAGCAAGCTAGAAATTCACCTCCCTGAGCATCCATTTCCTTAACTGTGTTTTGGTGACAGAAGTATCTAACTGGAATGGTTTTTTGAATGAAAGAGAGAACATATTTAAAGGTGCCTTATCATGTCAGATCCTCAATAAATTGCGACCCCATCGTTAAAAAGGAATGCCATGAGTAAAGCAGATTAGAAAGAATAGATCATAGGCTAGGGTGATGACACAGCAAGCTAATCCTCCAACTCTCCCATGCAGTTGCTGGTTTGAGTCCTGTATAGTCCATCCTGATTCAGCTCTCTGCTGATGGTCTGGGAAAGCATAGAAAGATGATTCACATACTTTGGCCCCTGAACCCACATCAGATACCCTGAGTAACCTTCTGTTATGCTACAGTCAAATTCTTGCTTCTGGTTTCAGATAAGCCTCTCGCTGTTATGGCCATTTTGAGGAGTGAAGCAGCAGATGGGAAACCTCCCTCTCCTTCTGGCTGTTTGAATAATATACACATTTGTTTAAGAGTAACAATCATGTGAAGGAAGGGTTAGTGGGAAGTTTTGGGAATTTGCAAGAAGTAGCCGAGTCTGGTATCTTAGCTGTCTTACAACCTGGTCACTGCATAAAAAGAATAATGTGACGTAGTTGAAAACCAGTAAGTACTAGAATCCCAAGGTGACTGACATGGTGCTCTGATTAACTCCAAGTAAAAAAGGACTGATGTTATTGCTTCTTGTTTCACTAAGAAGTAGAA